ACTGGTCAATGAGTATTTGGTTAGACGGTGATCATGATTCTTCCCTTACGACAAGTCTTCTCACACTCATATGTAGAGCTCTTCCAGCACGATTCCCGTGCCATGGATTACAATAATCTTCCACGCTGACTAACTAACAGTTGCCGGACTCGAACTGTAATAGGACTTTCTGCTCAATTTGATATTCAAACTAATCTTTCAGTTTTACGTAATTTTGCACAGTGAAACACTGCACGAAGGAACTTTTGAAAAACCCCCAGTGCCCGTTGTCCTAAACAACATTCAAGTAGATCCGCAAGATAGCTTTAGAACAGAACAACATTACCTTACTACTACTTTATGAACTATGCATAATATGCACTACACATAGCATTATATATACAATAACTTTAGAAAAAAGTTTCGCGACGGTTCCCCCTGAACACACGCGAATAGCGCTCGCCCCGGCCCATTCAAGCAAAAGCAAACAGCTGCGTACGAATTGTGGCAGCGGGACTCATTTTGAAACTTCTTCTTGAACACAGTCTGGAAATACTTTGTCTGCTCCACTGTAGTGAGACGGCTCCCTGGTAATCAACGCAGATACTCCATGTTCGACTGTCCATGAACCTTGGCATGGTGTGTGTCCTTGTCTTCAATGATTTCTTGAAGCCACAACCAAGGTGGTAAATCACTTCCAGGCTCTGGCGAAGGCGACTAGCCGAAACGTTGGCCCAATAAAGTGATTTACCACCTTGGCTTGTGGCTTCAAGAAATCATTGAAGACAATTAAAGCAGAATTTAAAATAAAAACCAGGAGTTCACATCAACTGAGTAGTCGGTTATAAGTTCTCGTTGAATTAAAGACATATAGCACGATAATTTGGTACGGTCTAAAATGCTAGCAGGGTGCTATATAATGGGAAAATGGCGAAAAAACGAAGTGAAACGGTCAAAAACCTGCGAAGAAAAGCCTTCGTTCTTCATGACTCAGAAAGCAATTTCGGACGAGTTTCCCGTAGGCATCTTGCCAATAACCGCTACGGTAGATACGGCTGCACGTATGTACTCATATATCCATGCAGCACGCGACCGCTTCATATCAATCCCTTCGCTTCATATTTTACTTCGCAAATGAAGCAATACGAGCATCAGGTACGGTCGTCCATTTGTGGGCGGGCGGGCGCGGTGGGCGTCATTATGTTGCAGCTTGATCGGGCCTATGAGGGTACCTTCCTTAAAAAAGGCGCTATGCAGCGCCTGCTCAGGGGCTCCGTCCTGTCAGGCGTATTAATCCTACTCGTCTTAGGGATTTATCGTGCCAACTGCCTTTAAGCAAGTGAACAGGGAACAGCAGCCGATCCTAAGTAATGGAATCCCAGCGAAGAGTACGCCGCCATAACAAAAAAGCGCATCTCATTCATTTGGCACACCCCAAGCACAGGCGATTTTGCCTCCCTCATACAATTTCCAACCTGGGAAAACAATGAACTGCTGCTGGTACATATTTGCAATCCAGAATAACGATAACAACGGTCCAAAAACCTT